TTGGTCCTTCAGAAGTAGGATACTGTAGGGCAGAAGCAAGAGCTGAATTTTAATTTTATTTCCTGCTCTCATATGAAGTCTCCAACTAAGCCTAATCTCTTTTAGGAGAGTTTATAGTAGGTGGACTCCAAACGCATCCTCTGCAACATGTAAGTCTAGGACTCCCTGTAGACCAAGACAAAGTAGAAAGAGTAAAACCCCATTTAAAAGAGAACCAGAAGACAGAGAGGGGGATGGGGAGATAGACAGACTACATTAAGACATAGAGACAGTCTTGTGGTTGAGTGTAGACTCGTGTCTGAGTCCTATTTCCGCAACCTGCTGACCCTTGCAACCTTGGGCTGGTTACTCAATTTTGCTAGAACTTTACTTCCTCCTCTGTAAAATGTGATGGGGATTACCTACCTCTCTGGTCTAATGAGAAGATTAAATGAGATAATATACTGTAAAACCTCGAAGCTGATAAGATGTTATGAACATCATTTCCTCAGACCTAACTGTCATGGAATTAAAAAGCAGATTAAAACTACGCGGGGCATGAATGGAGACTACAAAGCTCGCTTGCCTCTTCACGTGTTACTCCTCTGAACTGGCTGCATATCACCCGAAGAGAAACACACCCTTCAGTGAGGTCCAAAAATAGCTAATTCCAGGATCCCTATGTCCTCACAAATGACAAACTCTGTAAATGCTCATATCCCAGATAGAACAAAGCTTTGCCTTCACATAACCTATACATTGCCCCCATATGCCTTGAATCATTTCTATATCTCTTATAACACCTAATGTAGTGTGTATGCTCTGTAAAAAAGCCATTATACTGTATTGCTTACAGAATGATATTAATGCAGATACAATACAGTAACAGTGTCTGCATTGTTCAAGACAGATACTTCTCCTTCCCACAATCCCCCAAGTATTTCTACCCACAGTTGGCTGAATCTATGAATACAGATCCCAAGGACACAGAGGGCCAAATTCTTCACCCAGAAAAATTCAGAAATGTGCTTCTCTCGGTATTCAAGGTCTCTAGACATCATGTGCTAATTTTAAAGTGAATGCTGAAGGTGTTTGCCTATGCTTCCCATCTTTATGCTATATTGGCAAGACCATGCCTGAGTTCACAGCCATACTCTACCGGCAATCATTACTCAATCATTGCAAGCCTTCCTTCTGTTTTTAGAATAAAAGGAGGTCTCACTAGAAGAGAAAGGAGAAAATCTTCCTGATCTTTGGGGTTTGTTTTGTGTTGGGAAGTGTGTTGTGTGAGCACATGTGCATACACTCTGTGTGTGTGTGTGTGTGTGTGTGTGTGTGTGTGTGTGCTGAGGCCGGGGGTTGATATCAGAAATCTTCCTCGGTCACTCTTTCATCTTATTGTTTGAGACCTGGAATTTGCAGATATGGTTGGTCCAGCTAACCCAATTGCTCCAGATTACCTTGCTCTACTTTCTGATGCTAGAGTTACAAACATGGCTACCAAGCATTTACATGGGTTATAAGTATCTGAACTCTGGTCCTCTTGTTCTTCCAGTAATCACTTCTAACTTCTGAGCCATCCCCTCAGACCATCTTTTATTTTTATAAAAATCTTGGAATCGCTAAAGACAATGCATTTCAGCCCTGTCACTTGAAAGTGATGGTGATAAAGCTTTCTGGGGTTCAGACTGCAAATGAGATCTGACCTGGAATCAGAATCCTGGGTTTCAAATACAGGCTGTGTCTGTGTCTCAGTTTCTATGACCGTCATTTGGTCATTTCCTTCTTCCAAGGTCTTCAGCCACATAAGGAGATAAAAATGGCCACTGAATATGTGCAGTTGGAGGCTGAAGTGTGAGCACTTTGCAAACCATACGGCAATTGTCACACGAAAAGTGTCACCAAGGTTCTTTGGATCGTTAGGATAAGTAAGTATACATGGCTGTGCTTATAATGCCAGCACTCAAGAAGCTGAGGCGGGATGAACAAGTGTTTGAGAACAGACTCAGATACATAGTGAGACCCTGTCAAGAACAAAAGACAGAGGGAGAGAAGGGATGAGATAGAAGGATGAAGGGAAAGAGAAAGAGGAAGACAGACAGGCAGATCCTTTAGAGTTACAGCATCTGGGTTTCCAAAGCACATTCACCTACCGACGTCCATCATTTCATCTTGCATGCTTAGTTTGGTGACTACTGAGAGGAAAATGCTAATGGTCAGTAACACCTATGGTATAGAACAAGTAAGTGCAAAGGATTATTCCTGGATTATTGAGGAAGCTCTGAGCCAAATACATCAGGCCCAGTAAAGCCCTACCCAAAGCATTTCTCTCCCCCTTCCCGGAAGAGTTGGTTTAGACACACTTGGTGTACACTCACAGGAAGGTAAGCTCCCCACCAAACAAGTGAGGCGCACTCACTCTCTGAACCTCCTGCACTGTCTTTTTCCCTTAAAACCGCTTTCCAAGAAGGTCATGTGAAAGAGTAAGTTGAGAGAGACACTGACCCTAATGGGCTCTTTCTCAACCCAGCTCTCATCTGGGGAATTCTCTACAGCGCAGGAATGAAGATGGAGCCCGGCTGGGTGTTGCCACAGATGGTAGAACAAAGGTGCTTTCCCAGATTGCCAAAGAGGCGCCCTCATTCTTCTCAGAAATCAAATAGCTTCGATGCTTCAGTAGTGGCCCTCACTTGAAAACGTCTTCCCTGTTGAAGTTTTCAAAGCCCTATTTTCATAAGAAGTCTATTCCCTCTGTGAACTAAGGCATCACGGGGATGACTCTACAGACTCTCAAGTGACTGACTGGGGCCGTCATTAGTGTCATTATTTGTGTTTAGTTGCATCTCCATAGCAGCCCACATTCACAATGCACCTTGCATTTGTTTCTTAGTGCTTGTCCTCACACGATGGCCAATAGGCAGAAGATGACAAGATTAACATTTCTGTATTGCCTAAAGGGGAACTAAGATATGGAGTTAGCTGGCTGCTATTGATGCTCATATAAGACATGCTGAGAGACACCCACACTTCGGCTCCAATCTGCTTTGGCACTTATTCTGCCTTCATTTAGGATATCACTCATCTTTGACTCCTGTTTATAAATACAACACGAGCAGGGGCAGCAGAACTGGAATTGGAGGATCTCCATATGCAATAGAACCAATGAACATTTAAACAGCTCCATTATCTATGGTTAAGCAAGACCACAGGGGATACTTCATCTAACCCATAAACTACTGTACTCCTAGTCCCATGCTTCTTTTTGTCGAATGTTTCAGTGGCTTACCTTTCTCCCTCTGCCATTGTTTTTCTTTCCTCTTCTACCACCCACTACCTTTAGTTAAAATGTGAGTGGCTTTAATGCCAACTAGGAAAGTTGAAACCTGATTTACTTAAAGTCAGGTGCTCTACCACCTGAACTGGACCAGCCTTAGGTACTGAAAATGTCTCTAATAAAAATGAGCAGGCAGCGCTGATTCCATGTCCATATATAAGAATCCATACCTTCCTTTCCCACAGCCTCCATTGCTGAGCTGAGCCACTGTCCTGACTGGGCCTTTGTACCTGTCTGCAGAAGCGGGTAGCTATCCTTGCCCACCTTTGATCCATCCTTGTCTTTATGTAATGGAGCAGGGTCACTTTACCATGACGTGACTGAGGCTGGGAGTTCTCCCTTGAAGCTGTCATCTCTGTGGGAAATGTGTTGACATTATTCAAAGGAGTGAGAGGGCCCAGATCTTTATGGTCAATGTCACTTTTATCACCTCTGCCCTCTAACCATAAGGCTGCCATTCCATACTCAGACTGCTGACTTACTCAAGCAAACCTTTCTCTTCAGAGGGGAGGGGTAAACCTCATTTTCCCTCAAATGCCATGACTTAGCTGCCAATTATCCTGCCCAGATTCAGTCCTGGAGCACAATAAACAAATTAGGCCAAACACAAAGTATACCCCCGGAGCGCCCATCCTACTCAGTCCAGCCCTCTGATTTGAGCATTTCTGCCTTCCTCTTCCACCAAATGCTCTGGGTGTCTTGGTAAACTTCCTGCTGCTCTTCCCCTTTTTTGTAAGACTACATGTTTATAATCATATGAAACAAGCAATAAATAGATGAATCAAGTCAACAGCCCAAGGAATCTTTGCAAACAACATCATTACCAAGTGTATGAGCTGCATTTCGGCCAGTATCAAGCTGCGTGAACATAGAAAGATACAAAGCAGAATTATTTCCTGTAAATTCCCAGTGACACACTGGCGGGGGCCCCACCTACTTGAGATGATTATAAAAGACAGAGAAGCCTGACTCAGGCATAAGTCTCCAGGGCAGAGAGGGAGTCACCTCATTGGAGCTTGAGTCGGCAAAGGTATTGTCCTTATCACATCTGAGGCTATGGAGATTGTCTTTTGTTTGCTCCTTGACTGTCTTCTCTCAAGGCACCTTCTGTAAGGCTATAGTCTGTTCTCTTTCTTTCTCTTGTTGTTCCTGATTTGGTGTGTAAGCTGGAATCACAGATTTCAGAGAAGAGCTCTCTTTCTAGTGATAAGGACCTGAGGGGGCAGCTGAACAGGATTCCTGGGAGGGAATCCATCAGTTCAGCCTAATCTTTTCCTGTAGATAGGAAATTTCTACTGACAAAAATGAGATATGCTGGTTCCCGTTCTCTATCTCCCTCGCCTCTATAGAAGGCAGATACCTCATGCAGGTGGTTTTCCTTTTTTTTTTTTTCCTTATCCTATTCACCTTTATTGAATGCCTACTATGTGTGATGGAATGGGCTGGACACAAAGAATACCAAGATAGAGAAAACATTCTAAAACAAATGTACAAGTTAAGAGAGGAGAACAAAGCTTATACAAATAATGTAAGGGCGTATGAAGAAGAATAGAGGAAATTCTGGGCATGTGATAAGTCAGCCACTCATTGTAGTTTCTCAAGAAGAGCGAAGCAGGGTCACTGCCCTTGCAAGCACGGGGTTCAGAGGTGGAGAGCTGACCACCACTGTTCTTTTGTAGAGGTCAAGATGGCCAAAGTTCCGGACTTGTTTGAAGACCTGAAGAACTGTTACAGGTAAGAAACACATTCTACTTTTTGTGATTCAATGACTCCAACTAGGTGTTCAAGTGGCCAGTCAAGTGCCATGTTGTCAGAGGCTCTGTAGATATACACTGGCTCTGAAGTCCAGTCAAGACCAGAGAAGAGCTAGAAGGATAAGACCTCCAACATGCTAAAGTGGTATTTCCCTGAGTGAAATGGGAATTTAGAAAAATATTTTTGAGGTGTACTGACTCCTACATAATCTTAAATTAACATCAACTTAGGCACTTGATAGAGTTTGTATGCTCTATACAGCAGCAGCTATTAATGAACTGTTTGAGAGAAAATTCATTCTTGGGAGAACCTGCTCCCAGTCAAGAGGAGGAAACAGCTCTTGGGCACATGAACTCATACCCACAGTGAAACTTCACCCTGATACAGAAGATAAATGAGCAGAGCTGAAATTCTAGAACATTCTTAACTAACAAGATGTTTTTGTTTGCAATTAATGTTAATGCTAATGAAGCTACAAACTAGTGCTTGAATACTGTTAAATATAGAATCTGTTTTAGTATGTGAAAACAATGTATGACAAAGTGTATCTGAAGTACTTCAAAAGTTTCTCTTTTCTTTTAGCAGCTTCAGCCTTTCCTGAAGTCCAATAAGGCTCTTTGATTTATTAATCATGCCTAATTTTTACAGATAAAGTGCAAAGCTGTTCTAATAATTACTAACTCCAAATTAGTAGACAAATGAGTTACTATGTGTGTAGACATGAATATGCAGAAGTCTTTAGCTTTTCAAAGAGTAGTGTGTGTGTGTGTGTGTGTGTGTGTGTGTGTGTGTGTGTGTGTGTGTGTGTTCGTGTGCCCAAGTTACTGTAAGGCTGACTCTCATCCTGACTGGGATCGAGTTCTCCAAAGAAAGAAGTAACTCTTAAACAGCCACTAAAACCCAGTGCTGTGTTAGAGCATTCAGACTCAATAGTACCTATGTCTAAATCAGTATTCAGGAATGTTGTCTGTATTACCAAAAGCTAATGTGGTCATTAAGATATGATGCCTACGGACCTCAGTGGAATGATGAACAAAAATACAGTCTCCTTATATGTTTTTGACAGTGAAAATGAAGAATACAGTTCTGCCCTTGATCATCTCTCTCTGAGTCAGGTAAGCATATGGTTATCATTCTTATAGATTTGGATTTTCTTTTTACATACTACCAGAAATGCAAAATGAAGGTTGAGTATTATACACTTTTGTTAAAGGTCTAAAATACATTTATTTATTATTAGTGAGATCACTTGCCTCTCTATACTAATAGTTAACTGGCATTCTTCATGCTCATTGACTCTTCCATAACAGAGAAGAAGGGTTATCTGAAGCCCTAAGAACTTCTGGGCCAGGCTCCTTCAAATTGTTAGTTTTGGCATCTTTAGCCAGTTGCTTCAATCCACCTCACCTGGACACCTCTCCTAACATGCTATGTTGACATCATTCTCTGATAGCCCACAGAACTGAGGGAGAGGAAGCTGGCTAAGAGAAAGGGAAAACGTCACACACACTCAGCATGTTATTTTGTGTATCTGTGATACCTGTTTTAAAAGCTGCTTCCAGAAAAATAGACACACCAACGGTATCCATGGGTCCTTGACTGCAAGGCCCCCTAGGGAGATCACCTCCTGCAGATGTTCAAGTCCTTTATATTAAGTGACCTTCTATTTATATAAAATATACATGTATTCTGAAATAACTTTAAATCATATCTAGATGTCTTAAAACTACACCTGCCACACTGTGAATGCTATAGAAACAATTGTTATACTTATGAATCAGTGATTATATTATTTAGGAAGTAATTACAAAAAGATTCACATTTTAGTACAAATGTGATTTAGGTTTAAAAAATATTTTGAACCTTAAGGTTAGTTTAATTTGAGCAGGCAACACAGAGGGCCAAAAGTATTTTTTAAAATATTTTGAGTACTCTGGAATAGATGTCAAACCTTTTGACAGAAGGATCTCACTCACCAGGATCACATGTTAATCTGTTTAATTAAAATTTTTTCTTTTTGAGCCTAAAGGTGGGTGAAAAGACCCCCCCTCAACCCCAGCCTTGGTTTCAGGGAAATCCAAGAATGGAATGGAGCAGAAGGGAAGGAAGGGCAGTGGAGGATGAGAGGGGAGGGAGGGATGAAGCACAGGTTGGTTCCCTACACCCAGAAGGGAGATCCGTCTCACTAAGTCTGTAGGATACAGACCCTACTAAAGAGTCTCATCATGAGGTCATAGGTAAGCGCTCAGGTGCCACTTCCCTTCCTTACAGAAATCCTTCTACGATGCAAGCTGTGGCTCACTTCATGAGAATTGCACAGATAAATTTGTATCTCTGAGAACCTCTGAAACCTCAAAGGTGTCCAACTTCACCTTTGAGGAGAGCCTAGTGATGGTGGCAGCATCATCAGACTCAGGGAAGATTCTGAAGAAGAGACGGCTGGGCTTCAATCAGGCCTTTGCTGAAGATGACCTGGAGACCATAACCCGCAATTTAGAAGGTAAGGGATGAAACATAACAAAAATCCAATTTTTTAGTTTTAAGAAAATGATGATAATGAAGTAGAAAGAAAATAAATCTTGGAACCAAAATAATAGGACATTAGGTCAATAACTATAACAAAGAAAGATTAAATGCTGCTCTTCTCCAGAAGGGAGAGATCAATGGTAACCTGAGTCTAGAACAGTTGTTGAAGGGTTCCTTTCTTGGCTGTATTATAAAGGTCATCCAAAGGTCTTTGGTTGGAGAGAAAGCAGTCACAGTCCATTAGCCCATGACCTCTACTAGGTTCCATCTCCTTAGTCATGATCCTCCGTCTCTCTGGGCTTCAGTTCCCCATACTGTGAATAGAGATGACCAAGTCTTACACCTCACTGGGTTCCTGTAAAGATTAAAGAAGCCAATACCTCAAAACATTTAGACTAGAAGAATGTCTAATGTGAAGTCATCACCCAAGAAATGTCAGCCATTGTGATTACTCCCATTGCCTTTGTAAATGATGCAACACTACTCATTTATTGATGGCTGCACTCTCTGTAGGCTACAAAACAACCTCCTCCTCCTCTCGGTTTACATATGAGGAAATGAGGCTCATATGTGAGAAACCATGCAGCTAATTCGGTCCACTATGACTATGAGAACCCTGAGTTTGTCTTTCATGTCTTTTCTATACATTCCTGCACAGGAAACATAAACCAAGTACTCATTTTAATGTAAAACCTGGAAAACAATACCTCTCCGCCTCGAAAGTTTTAAAATAAAACAAAGTAGAAAAAAGAATATTAACATTCACTCATTTTTGCCACCCAGCTTTTAACCCTACCAACACCAGGGAATGGTTCCTAAAAGACTTCTGTGCATAAGATACACACTGGAGCAAACATGCCCAACATCATCATTGGTATACTACACACAATCTCAGACCCAGCTTTTTCCGTTTACAGACATTTTACAGGCAAATTTTTCAACACTGAAATGGCAATAAACATCTATGTCAGTTTCCATCACCATTCATTTTCTTAGAATAGCATCTTAGAAGTGAAATTAGTCAGAACCTGGAGATTCATGAAGCTACTCAGACATATACTTTCCAGGAAGATGGTAGACCTGTGTGTTATGTGATATATATATATATATATATATATATATTATAGATAATGAGAACATAACATTGTGGTATATAATTTTTAACACAATTACTTTTATCTTAGCATAGATTCATCTGAAAAATATAGACTGGGAAGACTGGTAGTCTTCCTTGTCTTTTGGAAACCTGCTAACAGGGCCAGGCATGATAGTTAACACCTTTAATCCCAGTGGAAGGCAGGCAGAGACAGGAGAATCTCTATGAGTTGGAGACTATTCTTTTCTGCAGAGTGAGTTCCAAGCCAGCCAGGGCTCCATATTGAGAGAAAGAAAAGAAAATAGCTAACTAAAATGCAAAATTTTCTCAAGAACTCTTTCAAAAGGTAAAATAAAATTATTGTCTGATGAATTGGTTTACAAAAAAAAAAACAAAATTAAGAAATAACCATAATAAAAACCCTAACTGTAATCAAGCCTTCTGCTGATTGAGTTCAACTCTGGCTGTTCCACGTGGATTGGCTACCCCTACAGTCCCTCTCAGAGCTACATCTGATGCTTGTATTAGCATGTGTACATCATCTATATTTGTAACTAGGCAATAACCTAAACTTGTGGTAATGATCCTAGAGACCATCCAATCAGATTCAGCACCTCAATTCTTCCAGAGCAATGTGAGATACAAACTGATAAGGCGTGTCAAGCAGGACTTCGTCCTGAATGATTCCCTCAATCAAAATATCTACCTGGATGCAGACAAGGTGCATCTCAAAGCAGCTTCATTAACTGACCTGCAACATGAAGGTAAATGGCCACCCTGTCACTCCTCCCCTCCTTGGGTTTCTTTGCTTCTTTCAAACTTTCTGCTTTCAAAACACAAACTTATCTACCTTCTGGGCTTTGCACAATTCTAGAACAGAATGAAGCACCCCCACCCCCACCAAGAATCCCTGGGAAGGACAGACAGACTATCATCCAAATCTTTGCGTTCCACCAGAGAGCACTTTCCTACCTGAGTTCACTACCTGGGACAGAGAGCTTTCTGATGTACCATCTCTTGGGTGCTTATAGACATTCTCAATATGACCTCCCTGTTCTAATTTTAAAGAAGAGAAAACTGAGTGTCACAAATATTTAATGACTTACCCAGAAGCTAACAAGGTGCAATCATTCACTATCTGATAGTAAGCTGACAATCCAACTTAAAACTATCATTCAGTTAGGAAGAGCTTGCTAATATGATGGGAAAGCCAAACAGCCCCTAACTGCAATGGAGTCTGAAGGACGAAATTCAGTGTCTAAAATTTATTGTTGTACAAATCCAGCTTTCGTAATAAACCTGTTTTAGATGCAGAATGCACCATCAATATACAAGATTACTTTTAAAGAGCCACCACAGAAACTTTATAATAAGCAGGCAAGGTTCTTTCTGACTTGAGACACTGTGCACACTTCAGTTACCATGTTCAGTTCAAATACTCAGCTGTTTGTGAGCACTCAAGTTGAAGACCATAGTTTGTACCCTATGACTTTTGCAAATTGTTGTGTATCCTATTTCCTACTTACCACATAGTTCCCCTCACATATTGGCTTAATCTACACATTTTCTACACACACACACACACACACACACACACACACACACACACACACACCTATCTAAATACCTGTTTTATATTTTTAAAAAATAGTGGATTTACTTTCTTTCTGGCTTTTTCTTTGACAGTAAAATTTGACATGTATGCCTACTCATCGGGAGACTCTAAATATCCTGTTACTCTAAAAATCTCAAATACTCAGCTGTTTGTGAGCGCGCAAGGTGAAGACCAGCCTGTGTTGCTGAAGGTCAGTTGACTTCCATCTTAAACTTGCCCTCATTTACCTCCCTCTGTTTGTAAGCAATCACAGCAAGCAGATGTCCCTCCGAGGATGGCCACAGTCACCACATGCTCACCTTTTCCTCCCTGACTGTATTTGCCTCCCATCTCAGAGCATCCGTTGGTTCTGTTGATCTTTACTGACATCTACCATCTGACTTGAATGGTACTGGGCATTATGAGACCAGGGCAAGCCTCAAAAACAAACTCAAACAAGCCCACTGAGATCAGAAAGGATTAACCACTTGCTAACACAGGTGAAGCCAAAAGCTAAGAGCACAACACTCAAACCTTTGCTTTCTCACTCCAGTGTTCAATTGGTGATACTGTTGTCTCTCATCCCATCTCCATGTTCTCTACAGCCATCCCCCTCAAACACACACACACACACACACACACACACACACACACACTTAGGCATTAGACTTTACCATGGAGAAGAATGTGACTCTCAATCAGTAAATGTATAGTTCAATGCCTCCAATTTCCACCTAAAATGTAGGTGGGCGCCTGTATTTCTCTGTCTGAATCAAATAAAATGAAAGTGTTATCTACTAAGTAGGACAGTCACTTCATTCATGAATTCATTCAACAAGCCATTATTTACCAAGAGCCTTCTCTTTTTCAAGTACAGCATTAAAAGCTATGGAGAATGGCAAGCCAAAATCCCTAACCTTATGGGACATAGTACTCTAGGACACAGACAATAGATAAGTCGAATAGAGAACAACAAGAAAGGAAAATGTTGGTCAGAAAATGCACAAGGTACTAAGAGAGAAAATAGCAGAGTGTTATTTAGAGGGAGAGACAAGAGTGGAGCTCCCAGAGAGACAAGACAGGCTAATAAGAGGTAGGGATGGGCCATCCTTCAGCTATTGGGATCTGTGTGGTTAGTACTTCATGAGCCCACAGGCCACCAGCAAGGGTCAGCACACATTTGATATACAATTTGAAAGCCACTAAAGGGTTTCAGACAGTGCAGGGTGCTGGTATCAGTTACATTTCTTAAATGGACAATATTCTAGAAGGAAAGCTCTAGTGAAAGCTGGGAGCTCAGCTGGGAAGTTCCAGAGAAGTGTGGCAGGAGGATGAGGTGAGCACGTAAAAGGGACCAGACCTTGTATGATCATGTGGAGGCACAACAAGGAACGGGTAAACGCGGGAGATGAGCAAGTCTGGAAGGACAGTGTGATGTTGAAACTCCAAGGAAGATGATCAGGTTATTTACTTATAAAGAGAGTCCCAAAAAGAGTCTTAACAAACACGGAATTTGAAATGTATTTTTCCATGAAGGTTATTGTCAGAGTTTATTCATACTCAGAGGAAGAGGACAGTCTAAAAACGGCTGTGCTCAAAGCTGTCAGCAACTAATCCATTGGGGAAGCATTGTGGGGTTTCAGTTATTTGTGTGTATGGGTATGGTTAACTTTCAGATTTTGGCTGAAACTTAGAGATAAACATCATCTCAATCCTCTACTGTTTCCAGAAAGGTGTGATGTGTATGCTCAGGGGGTCAGAATGTTTAGACATCTTAGAGCCATCAGTGCTCAGATTTGGTGAGAGTACCTGGAGCCAGCATTTAAAACAGGATACACGCACGCAGTGTTTTGCCCCAATTGTCTGGATACAGGGAAACGCTGGTATCATTGACAGTCTGCATGATTCATTTAGATTTCTCTCCTATTAACTAAGGAAATTAAGTCATGAATAGTCTGAACCATACATCGAATAGGCATGAGATAAATGTTGAGTGAACAAATGGAGAAGCCTGGCTCATATCTGAGTCAGGCTTCCAGAGTGCTGCTTCTCATGAAGGCCAGATACCAGAAGGTGACACTTCAGTGTTTTTCCAACACCTTCTTGGGCACTAACAGAATTCTGTTTTGCTTATCACAGGAGATACCTGAGACACCGAAAGTCATCACAGGGAGTGAGACCGACCTCATTTTCTTCTGGAAAGCAGTCAACTCAAAGAACTACTTCTCATCAGCTGCCTACCCAGAGCTCTTTATTGCCACAAAAGAACAAAGCGAGGTGCACCTGGCAAGGGGACTGCCCTCCATGACAGACTTCCAGATCGCATAAGAGCAGCCTTATCTCTGGGGTCCACTTACTTGAGAAGTGCTAACAATCTGTATGTACCATGTACAGGAAGGTTCTTCACCCTGAGTCACTTGCAAGGCATGTGCTGAGCCTTTGTAATTCTAAATGAATGTTTACCCTCTTCGTGAGAGAAGAGCAAAGCCTAAAGGAATCAACCCCAACATATAATGTTATTTGTTATTTAAAGAGCACCCTATACTTTGCACAGTACTAATCACTTTAATTATTATTCTTCATGACATTCTTAGGAGGAACAGAGCTGTAGTGATCAAAAAGACTCTACCCATATTACAGATGGGTTAACTACAGCATAAGAAAACTAAAAAGTACACTCAACGGCAGTTGGAAAGAGAATCCACAAATCCACTATGTCAATCAAACTGTGTACCTTCTGCTTCCAAATTGCTGACTGAGTAGGATAAAGCTATAAGAACTTAATTCTACCATTTTTAAAAGGAAGAGGACAATAGTTACATCTTTCCTACCTCAGCGGGTTTTATTCCAATGAGAGCATTTGGATGAAATCCTCCTCATGAAGACAGAATGTTGAATGCTATTTTTAAGTTATTTTATATATGTATTTATAAATATATTTATGATAATTATATTATTTATGGCACATCCTTAAATCCTCTGAGCTTGACCAGTGTCCTCAGCAGCAGGGCATTCTAGGTGGAGTCAGTCAGACGTAGCTACTTCATAGCACCATGTTGTAGACGTTATGCTTTCTCCACAGCCATGAAGCTCTCCACATTCTCTTACTTGGGAATCCTGTAATTATGGCCATGGATCTGTATTGTTTACTTTGTTCATTTAAGATGATAATTGGGCCACTCTTTCACCCTTCTATCCCTGAAATTGTCTGGGTATTCTTACATCATCAACCTCACCTGTAATTAAATCCAACAATCCAAAGATGGAAAGATCTTAACTGTGACTACCACATCACTGTTACTTGAAGTTTCCTTTCTAGAATGCAATCAGTGTTTGCTCTGGGTTCTAAATTTGTTCTCAAACCACAGTGTCACATGAGTATCGACAATAATAATCAATGCATTGTTGTTGATCATAATTAAATAAAACAAGTTTGAGCTGACATATATTTATTTGTTATCTTTTTTGCTTGGGTTTTACAATAGATGGTTGGTTGTTGTCAGACTTCCTTTGGACCGCCAGCTCCCAAATAGTGACATGAGACTTATTATGAAAGCTTGGCCTTAGCTTAGGCTTCTTCCCAATTAGATCATATAACTTAACTTGTTTATATTAATCTACATTCTGCCACGTGGCTCCTTACCTCTCCTCAATACTGTACATCCAACTTTACCCTGTCTCGATGGTAAATTCCACCTCACTTCTCAGAGTTCCAATCTCTTCCTAGAAGAGTGCCTATCCTCTCCTGCCTACCTATTGGCCATTTAGCTTTTACTAAACCAATCAGGCTGGGAAGTGGTGGTGCGCGCCTTTAATCCCAACACTTGGGAGACAGAGGCAGGTAGATCTCTGTGAGTTTGAGACCAGCCTGGTCTACAGAGTGAGTTCCAGGACAGCCTCCAAAGCAACACAGAGAAACCCTGTCTGAAAAAAACAAAAATAAATAAATAAATAAAATTTAAAAAGAAAGAAGAAAAGAAAACAATAACTACTACGGACTACTTTCATTTGGCATGCTATTATTTGCGGCCAACGCCAGCCTAGTTGACACAGAGCATTGCTTCTCCCTGTCTGTCTGTCTGTCACAGCTGTCCTTATCTGGCTGCAAAAAGATCTATTCTTTGCGCGCCTGCCTGTCAGCTGTAGCGTCACCCACCGGCTCCAGCCCAGCGACACAGCCACGGAAGTGACCCGGCCACTGGGCCGACCTTCTCGGAGATTGTCCTCCAATCGCAGAGCCTCGAGGAGGCCCCGGGGCCAACCGTAAGGCGCCTATTTCCTGTTATCCCGCCCTCTCTGCCTTCCGGTTGGCGAATTTCAAAGCCCCGGGCTCAGATAGGTTCGGGACGCTGGACCCGGGTCACAGGGCGACGAGCGATGGCCGCGTGTGGACACCCAGGCAGCTGGTTATGGCCGGAACTTTGACCTGAGTCAGGAGGCCGGTTCTGCCTCAGTCCGAGTCCCTGCACCTCTGCAAGTCGACTGATAAAATGTGCACTGTCTGGAGGTTGATTGATTAAATGTGGGCTGGGGTTAAGGTGTTGTGAGCCCTGATATCTGTGACAGGCCTGGAGCCCCACCCCCGTGTCGCCTTCAAGATGCATACGGTGTCCCCTGTTTGTTGTTCTGTACACCGTCCTAGGTGCTACTTGCTCAAGGGTTAAAAAATCTTGCTTTCAAAACCTGGCTTTGCTGCCTATTAGTGGGTAAATTTAAGCATGTCATTTACCCTCCCAAACAGCAAAATACCTTACAGGATTATTGTGTTATTGTCAACAGCTTAGTAAAGAGCTTGGCATCAAGCTGATACCGTTGGTGTTTATATTAATTTGAAAGCAAGCATAGCAGGACTGGTGACTTTATCAAAGCCCAAATAGCTACAGGAAGGTATCATATTTTAGGACTATAAAGGGACTGGTTAAAATCTCAAGTTAAATTTCTGTTGTTTGTTCATGTCCACATTTTGCAGAAGAACGGTGGAGAAAGCTCCAGGAGTACCTGGCAGCCAAGGGAAAGCTGAAGGACCCGAATGCCAAGTGAGTTTACCTCCCTATAGTTTTGTTTTGTTGCTCTGGTTGCTAATAGCAACACAGTACCACCCTTTTGTTTCTGGTCTGTTTAACCTGCATGGTGATCCTATAATAATAAAAGGAGTATTTCAGTCCAGGCATGATTTAAAAAAAAAAAAAAAAAAAAAAAAAAAAAAGGGCGGGGCGGGGGGGTGGGGGCTCACAACTTTAATCCCAGCAGATGGGAGGCAGTGGCAGGTGGATCTCAGTGAGTTCAAGACCTTGAACTCACTGGTGTACAAAGTGAGTTCTAGGACAGAAACCTGGGTAGTGGCTTGTCTGTTGGCAGAGATGTAAGTAAGCTTTGTTCTTTCCTAATAGCAGAGGAAGAAAGGATCTACAGTATTATCTACCACACTGGAAGCTTTTCTGGTTCCTTCTTTTTTCTGGGAAAATTGGTTCCCAGCAAAGCAGTTTTTGATCAGAGAAAACTAGTTCTGGTGTTTGCTTACTAAAGCAAGAGCGTTGGTTACATTCAGTCCACAATAGTGGTGCAGCAACATCCTCCAACTTGGTGATGCCCTCCTGGCATATATTTGAGGTGGACAGAACATAACCCCTTTACCCTTTCCTCTTGTTGGCACTGTACCATTTTGTCCTATTATTTCTCTGTCTTGCTTAACGCAGGTGTATTTTCCTCTATTTGGGTGGCTCAGGTGTTGGGTATCTGCTCTATCACTCGTCCCCTTTTCCTTTAAGACAGGATCTCCCACTGTCTGAAGTTCACTCTGCTGTGATCCTCTCATCTCTACCGCTTGTGTCTAGGGTTACAGGCACACTCACCATGCCTGATTTTTATATTGCTGCTGGAGATCTGAACTAAGGTCCCTATGAGCATAGCAAATGCTCTCACTCCTGAGCCATCTTCCTTGGCCTGTCACATGCACTGTCTACCACTGACATACATTCCCCAGGTCTGCCAATCACTCAACGCAGAAAGATACAGAATTTACTAAGGCCATCCCTGCCCCCCATGGCTTATGCTCATCAGTCTCTCCTCGTCTTGGGTTTCGGTCCATGGAATTTGAGTCCTCCTCAGTTCTGCTCTGTTCTGTCTTTGGTTTGCTGGCCAGACTTCTACATCCTGTTGCATCCTGAATCCGAAGATGTTCCAGTCCCTCACATGAAATGCTCTAATGTTTATTTGTAACCTATGCATGTCCTTTTATAGACTTGAAATCATCTGCAAGTTACTTATGGTTCCCAGTACAATGGAAATGCCATGGAAATAGTTTGCTTTAGAGAATAATAAGGAGGGAAAGTCAACATGTTCGGTATGAATGCAGTTTTGTTTTTCACATTTTTTTAAATCAAAAGTTAGTGAAAATCATAAATGTGGAACCCATGATGTGGAGACTTGATTATTTACAAACCCCTCTCCCCTCTGAAAAACACCAAAGATATATAGAGCAAGGGAGTTTTTTAATGAAGCAGTTGACCATCTTCTTTCTCATGTCCAGCCCTCAATATTCAAGAACTGAGACTCACATAAGACTGTAACTATGAAGAGGCCACATAGATTTCATTAATTTATTAGAAGGCTACATTTGTACATAGGATAACCTTTCAAAATAAAGTCACAAAAGAAATTGGTAAGAGCGGTTGGTTGTGGTCCTTGGGGAGGAGAATACAGGGCCAAGGAAGGGAGAGTAAGAATACATCTTATTAAATAATAATGTTGATTTATTTTACCTTTTGCAGAAATTCTATTGTTTAAAATCCTAATCATAATGTTTTAACCACTGTTCTTTCCTAGCTTTCCTGATTCTTCTATACCAAGAATTAATTTTATTTTTCATCTTTCATAGGCCTTATCTAAAAACCAAGTATAACTGCCCCAAACAACCATCTTCCAAACATGTAAGTAAACAGCCCTATGAGAAGGTTGCTTGTGTGATTTAACATCTAACCAGAATCCTTTAGGATAAAATAAAGTACTGGACCAAGAAGCCTGAGTCAAAATATCTTGTGAAACTTAAGGACATAGGATATCCATCTGTCTTAGTTAGGGTTTCTATTCCTGTGAAGAGACACTATGACCATAGCAACTCTTATAAAGGAACAACATTTAATTGGGTGGCTTACATTTTCAGAGGTTAAGTCCATTACCATCATGGTGCCACATGGCATGCTTGCAGACATGGTGCTGGAGAAGGAGCTGAGAGTCCTACATGTTAACTTGCAGGCAACAGGAAGTGGCCTGAGACACTGGTCGTGGTTTGACCACGTGTCAAACCCACCTCCACAGTGACACACTACCTCCAACTAGGCCACACCTACTAATAGTGCCACTCTCTTTGGGGGTCATTTTCTTTCAAACCATCACACTGTCCTAGAAAACATTGATATGACTGTTAATGTTACTGTTGTGCCCATTTATATATGATTATATATGAGATTCAAAGACATAGCCTGACCTAATTATACACCCAGTAAGAGTCAACTCCTATTTCATTCTGGTAATAAATTATATTGAATACATGGGCTACTTAAAGAATATACTGAGTTTTTAGGAATTATTCTGGGAGTGTATAAAACCACTAAAAGATATGCATTAATGTGTTTTCCAGCCCTATCTTGACCCCTGTTTGATGTATCATTGTTTTTAAGTGCCACTAAGGGTCCTCAAAATCAGGTGTAATCCCATCTTTACATCTCCTAGCATAGTCTGGCACAGTGCCTTTTCTAGTCAACTTTGAATAAATCTCTCTTGATTCAAGCCTTTCCTATATCCTCTGTGAGTTCTCCCATTTCAAATGCCCAGGGTGAGTGATAGTAAATTTAGCTTAAAGCAACATTCCTTCTTGTACATGCATTGTTTTTGTTTTTCACCTTGATCTGTCAGTTCTGAGATGGTTTAAAGGAATCAAGAGTCAGAAACAGGAGTTCTAACCCTAACCCAGCTTCCAGCTCCCTCTCTGTGCCTAGCCTTGGACAGCTCGCTTTCTCTACCAGATGACGGAGTTGAATTTATCTCTAAAATCTCTCTCTCGGTTCTAATGTCCTGAGTATAGTTTTCTCTCTCACCAGGGGGCTTGAAAATGAGTGACCAGTTCTACAACTTGTAATACTTTAGTCAGGTCTGATCAATCTAAAGTTAAAATCTGAAAAATGTCCAAAAGAAACATTTGAAACATTTGAAAGTCACGTATCTTAAGAAGATCTAGTATCCAGGACATATGACTCTTACAGTTCAAACAATTAAAAGACAAATGACTCAATTTTGAAATGAGCAGAGTCTGAGTAGGCATTTCTCAAAGATGTTGAGGATAAGAAGAAATGTTCAGTATCATTAACCATCAGGAAAATGCAACTCAAAATGCCAATGAGGGGCAGGCCTGGTAGGACTGGCTGATAATCCCAGATCCGAGGACGCTAAAAGCAGGAGGTTTGAAAATTCAAGGACAGACTGAGCAATTTAGTAAGACCCTGCCTCAAAATAAAAAGTAAAAATAAGTTTGGAGATACAGATCAGAAAAAAAAAAGAAAAAAGAAAGAAAGAAAGAAAGAAAGAAAGAAAGAAAGAAGAAAAAAAAAAAGCCTACCTGGTGTGCTTCAGCCTCTTGGTTCAATCCCCAGTAAAACCTGCACACATTCATGCCCCCAAAACAACAATAGCAAACAAGCAAAAACAGTGAGGTTCTACATCATACTTACTAGAATAGCTACATTAAAAAAGACAGATAGTGTTGGGGGATGTGGAAAAACTGGAATCTTCATACATTGTAGATACAAACATAACCCAATGTAACTATTTTAGAGAAAGCTTTTACAGTTTCCTAAAACGTAAGCATAGATTTACTGAATAACTCTGGAATTCTGTAGATAAACTGAAAATATATGCTCACACAAAAACTATACACAAATATTCATAGTAACAGTGTTTATAAACCCCCAAATGGGGAAGCAACCCAAACAGTCATTAACTAGTGAATGAATGTGTATAGCCACACAATGTAATATTATTCAACCCTAAGCAAGTAATGGAGGGCATATTTGGAAACAAGGTTTAGGAGAACCACCTATACTTCATGCTCATTTTTTTTTTCCTTAGAGCATAAAACTTCTCTAAAAAGAAGCTTGTTACAATAATTCTTTATGCCAAGTCACCTGAACCCTGCTGCCACAGGAGCACCCAAAATAACACTCAGAGTCTTATATTATTTACAATGCTGTTGGCCAATGACTAGGATTTCTTATCTGCTATCTCAGTCTTAATTATCAACTATAGTCATAAATAAGACTTATCTTATGGAGGATATCAGTGGAATGCATCACATGGTGGCTCGAGAGCAGAGAGCAGGAGGAAGGGGAAGAGGACGATTTCCTCTTGTTCCTGCTTATATTCTGAGTCTGCCTGCTATGTCACTTCCTGCCTGGATCTCTTTTTACTACATTTCCCAGAATCCTCCTTGACTCCTACTCCTGCCTAACTTGCTTCCCTATTGGCCAAACAGTGCTTTATTCATCAACCAATAAGATAAACATACACAGAAGGACATTCCCCAACAGAAGCTTTTTATGTTGTTTTGTTTTGTTGTTTTTTTAACATGGCTGGAGGAATAGCTCAGTTGGTGGATTGCCTGCTCAGCATGCATGAAACTCTGAGTTTGACTCCAGCATCAATAAACTAGGTGTGATAGCACATGCCTGTAATCCTAGCACTCTGGAGGAGGTGGGAGAATTAATAGTGTAAGCTCATTCTTGACTACATACTAAGTTCAAGGGTAGCCTAGACTCTTTCAGAACAAAAGTAGTAAAGTGCTGATACGTAGTACAACATGAGTGAATCTTGAAACTTATTTGAGGAGGTAAACAAAGAAAGCCAGACACATCCACACAACACACATGCACAAAACATTCAATGAATCCACCTGTTTAACAGCTCCATCTGCATAGGAATAGTGGGAAAATAGCTGTCAGTGCTGAGACTGTGGAAAGAGGGAGATGGAGAATGACTACTAAGAAACCTTTCTAGGGTGATGGAAATGCTCTGGCATTCTGTGGGAGTGGGTGTGCAACCTTGTAAACATTCTAAAACCCACTGAACTTTAGGCTTTGAAATACTAAATGTTATGGCATGTTAATTAAATCTCAAATTTGTTTAATGTATAAGAAATGTAAGTCATAAAAACACGTTTGAGCGACGGGTGGTGGTGGCACATGCCTTTAATCCCAGCACTTGGGAAGCAGTGGCAGGCAGATCTCTGTGAGTTCGAGGCTAGCCTGGTCTAGAGATAGTTCCAGGACAACAGCCAGAGCTGTTCCACAGGGAAATCCTGTCTCAAAAAACCAAAAAAACAAAACAAGATAAATAATGACATGGAGACTTCTTACTATTTGTGAAAGCTCAGCCTATAAGCTTAGGCTTGTTCCTAAGTAGCCCTTATAACTTAAACTAACCCATTTATATTAATCTATGTTCTATCACTTGGCGTTACTTCTTTTCTACCTCCCACCTCCTGTTTCCTCTCCATTTCTCCTGCCTTCTCCTGTGTGCCTAGATTGCCCCTCTTCTTCCTTTTTCTCCCTGGAAATCCCACCTATACCTCCTGCCTAGCTATTGGCCGTTCAGCTTTCTATTATACCAATCACAGCAATACAAAGTGTACAAATACCCTACAACACTACCCTACCACAAATTATTGTGTTACAATTTGATGGCATATCTGTCCAGGCAGGTTAGGTGTATTCTTTATTGGAACATAATAGGCATTTAAAAATACTGATTGATGTAGAAAAATTCTTTTTTGAAACAGTTTTTTCTTGTTGTTACTGGTTTGTTTTTTTAATTTACTGAATCTCTACCTGATTCTGTGAAGTTAAAAAGACTCTGGCTTACTTCTAATAGAAACTCAAATTACAAGAGTCACCTATATACCAAGGTAAGCCTTTATATTCCAGATTCATCTTTCTTAAATAATATCCTAAGATTGTTTTCTAGCATGCGCTTGAGGTTATTTTCATCATTTTAAAAAGTGAGCTATTAGCTGGGCGTGGTGGCGCATACTTTTAATCCCAGCATTTGGGAGACAGAGGCAGATGGATCTCTGTAAGTTCGAGGACAGCCTGGTCTGCAGAGTGAGTTCCAGAACTACACAGTGAAGCCCTGTCTCGAAAACCAAAAAGATTAATTAATTGATTAATGATTAATATAAAAATAAAAGGTGAGTTTCTAAAATATATTTTTCTTTGTGTTTTCAGACTTCTGGACCCAAAAACGATGTTTCCAGTCATGTTGTTTTGCCTGTCAAAACTACAAGGTCTATCAACATTAAACCCCAGACTAAACCAGCCAATAACACAAGGTCCCAGAAGCCAGAGCTGGAGCTACCAAAACTTCCAGGCAAAGGGCTCACTTCAAGATGTTTTTCTTCTAACTCAGACTGTAAACAGTCCAGCCAGAGTCAGCAGCAGCACAGAGCTGCATCGTCCACTATTGGACTGTCAAAAAAGCCCAGGAGGTCCCCTGGTACCCAGAAATTGGAATCCAAAAAGCAGCAGCAAGCACATCAAGGAAATGCTGAGGGCACCCACCCTGTGGCTGGGACCCATGTCAGAAACCAATCTTTGAAGGGTTTCCTAGACGAGGTCAACAAAGAGAATGTGCGCCAAACCTTGCTAGAACCTGGGAAGCCGGTTCCTGACTTACATCCCATAAGTAAGCCAAACACTGGCTCCTATAACCAAACCCAGAAAAGTCTGGCTCCTAAACAAATCTTGAGCAAAAGCTCAGTTAACCGTACTGTTCTGAAAGACAGAGCTAACAAACAGTTTGTTAGAAACACACAAATCAGCACTCAAGCAGTGAAGTCGCAGCACCTCTCTACAGATGCAGATTTTGCACGACCCAGAGAAAAACCCCGGCAAACAATTCTCTCTCAATTCACACCCGCCCATAATAAGACTCTGACATCAAAGAAATCAGTGGTCAAGGACACACAGGACGTAAAGGTTAACAGGATTAAATATGGAAGACCAAATGAAACTACGGTACAGTCACACCCTACCACTGAACAGAAAGTAAAACTTACTAAATCTGGTTCCCACCCCAGCTTGCTTCATGGAGGACAGAACAACAGACGTCCAGCCATCAAGCAGAATCAAAAGACTGTGCAGCCTTGTCTTGACCCCCGGACATCACGCATTCTGCACAACTCAAGAGCTGTAAGCCAGAGGCCTAATTTGACAGCTGGCAAGGTTATTCTAAGCACCCCTAGCATAAGAGCAAATAAAATCCAGAACAATAAAAACGGTAACATCTTCCAACCAAAAGCACAGACTCTGGACTTCAAGTTCAAAAAGGTTCTTCCCCAGAGCCAGTTTCTGAACAAGACTGCTCCCAAAATTCAAGCTGGCACAGCAACCACAAGTAGGAATGGAGCCCCAAGTGCTAGCCAGACTCATCCACGTGTTAAAAAGACAGAAGTAGAGGATCGGAGGTACTTTGCTTTAATTCCAAGACACTGCAACTTAAGATTTCTAGGCAAACTGATAATGGTTGGGGTTGGGACTTGTAGCTCAGTGATAAAGCACTTACCTAGCAGGTGTGAGGCCCTAAATTCAAGCCCCAGCGCCACCAACAGACTGACACATTTTTATATGTGCATATACACTTAGTTGAGAAATAGCTCCTACGTGGTAGCTAGCTAGAGCCTGAAAAGATAGGAAGCTATAATAAATATTAACACCTAACAAAACTAGTGATCCAAAATGTTTTATAAACCATTCTCTGTAATTGTCTACAACGTTGTTTTGTAAAAATGGAAGTAGAGCAGAAGAGAGTAGGAGCTGCTGATATAGATTAGTCACCCAGGAAGTGTCCTACAGAGAGCAACAGAGCAGGACGGGCTCACAGGAGCCACCGCAGTAAGTTCACACAGCTAGGAAGGAAGCCATCAGTGACTAAGTTTGGCAGTTAGCAGAGAACGAATGGAAGCTTCTATGAGCATGAGTAGGCCAGGCTGAGGAAGGTAAGCTGAACCAGGAGCCCTGGTCAGATGCGGCATGCAAGTGTTAGAAATTGGGGTCCCAGGTTTTTGGGGCTCGGTGTTGTACATGGTACTTGAGGTGAGCCAAAGGATTTTATCCTCTTTCTGCCCAAGACCAGTCACAGTCCCCGAATGCAAATGAGCCTCCTTAGAGTGCACTTGTGTATGCCTGGGTGGAATAGAACATAGACTCCTGACAGGAGTGAAAGAGAATGTAAAATTAGATGGTGGCTAAAAGTTGCCATGCAGTGGGAGCAGGAAACAGGATTTGGTCTGGGAACAGAGCCTTCTGCCTTCTTACAAAGAAAGTTACTTAATGTTTGGTGGTGTGGTTGAGAGGCCGATTAAATAGGAGGTTGGGGGAAGTGCTTCCATCCATCGGTCACGTCTCTGGTGAGCAAAGACTGCTGAAACTGAGCATGGTGAGTGACAGGTTGGCGTCTGCTCTGGAACTCCCAGCCCGGGTCACGTCTTTGCCATATTGACAGTGTGTGACATGTTGGAAGTGTCTGGTTACAGAAGGAATAGATTCTGTGGAAAGGATTAGAACCATCCACTCTCGATGTGTGTTCCCCCATGGTTTGCATTGTGCCAGGCTCAGGTGGGGAAGGAAGACCACCACTCCCTCTACCCTTAGAGAGCTTATAGTCTGAAGTATATATGGGACATTTAGAGACGCTAAGCATAGCACTGAAGTCCGAGCAGTACGGGAAATTGTCTTCATTATGATTAGGAGACTATGGAGATAGGAAGAATGCTAGGGACTTGTGGAAACAAGTATGTGTCCACTTTGTTATTATGGAAGATTGTAATATTGCTTATCTTCTCGATAGAGTCAAAGGAAAATGGCAGTTAATAACTTTCATTTATAATAATAATAGATTATTGAATTTTGAAAAAGACAAAGCCGTAGAGACAAAAAGCAGATCAGTGGTTCTCAGGGACTGGAGACTCAAGGTAAGCTTGGCTCTCTGAAGAGATTTGGGCCTGTATTATATCTTGATTGTAAGTACAGTCAAGTGGTCTTGTGTATTTACACCCACAGAATCACACACTTCAAAAAAGTGGGTTTCACTGTACTGTCATTGAAATCTTGTGTGTGCCAGGCACTGTGCTAGGCACTGGACATCCAGTTCTGTCTTCAAAGAGTTTGTGTCCTAGTGGAGGAGACAGAATATGAACACGCTGATTAAATAAAACAAGATAAATTGCAAACCATTACTCTTCAAGTAAGGATCATTTGAACAAAGTACGGAAGATGCAAACCTTGAGGCAGAGGTGAGCCTGGATCAGGAAACTGAAAGGAGCCAGAGCTCCTTGCGGGTAGTGAGGAATGGGCTGTGGTGTGGAGTTGGAAAGGGTGGCAGGACAGTCATAGAAAACATGGCTAATTTTATTTCAAGAGCAATGGGAAATTGGTGCAGTGTACTTTGTATTCTCCTGATGGGTATTATGGGCAGAGAGTGACAAGGGTTAGAGCAGCTGCTTCACATTTCAGACAGAAGGTGACATGTGTGGCTTGGCATGGTGGTCATGTGGACAGAGCCAATACTGAATCTGCACAGTGACGTGTCAGACATAGTGAAAAGCAACTACTCACAGATGTCTCCTGAGGTCAGGGCCTACTGTTTATCAAAATAAGGAGAATTAGGAAGGGATTTGGAGGTAAATATCAAGAGCTTTGTTTGGCACCATATTGAGCTGAAATGCCTGCCAAACAATAAATAAAAGGTCCAAATGAGGCAGTGTGTTTAACATGGTTTGGGCTCCATGGAGTGATCTGAAATCTAAAATGGGCATTTTCTGGTCATTGATACACAATTGTGATTAACAAAGCTAGAGGGCCTACGTCTAAACACTTGGTGTACACATCCACTCGCTGCCCTCCAAAATAATAGTCTATTTGCTTAGAAGTAGGGGTGGAGAGAGTATTATAAGTAGTGGTAGAAAGCCAGCATTGGGACTGGGCACTGTCAGAGACCAATTACTTAAGGAGAAGACAACCTAGGATTAGTGATTAACGAAGAAAGGGACTTGTGTGTGGTCAGAACACTAAGGGACTGGAGTGAAGTAGGTTGCTATGAGCAACAAGATGCTTTTGAAGACAGAATGCAGGTTTGGTTGGTCTGGGTGGCCAGAAGCTTCGGGTGGAGTGCTGAGGCGTCTTAAGGGCAGGTGACATCCAAGACAGCACATGAGGAAATGAAGACTTAGAGAAAAATAATGAAACGTAATCAGAAGTCAGGTATTTAAAAACTAAAGTGCCAGTCAGTCCTCTGTAATCCTACCAGTTCTAAGTGGTGTAGTCAGCCCCGCGTGGCATTGCTCATTGTAGACTGTTATTCATTCTGTCCTCCTGACCTTGTCTACAGTGGAAGGTTTAGTAATATCCAGTCTCTGCCAGTCAGTCCTTTGTAATCCTACCAGTTCTAAGTGGTGTTGCCCATTGTAGATTGTTCTTCACTCTGTCCTCCTGAACTTGTCTACGGTAAAACGTTTAGTTATACCCAGTCTCTGCTTGTCATCGTTTTAGAAACAGACAGGTTAAGAAGGAAAGAGGGAAAGAACTAACCGTCTCCCATCACATTACAGGAAACAGCTGGAAGAATGGCAGAAATCTAAAGGCAAAAGCTATAAGCGCCCTCCCATGAAATTGAAAGCGAAAAGAAAAATCATAGAGGAGATGAACATTTCATTCTGGAAGAGCATTGAAAGAGAAGAAGAAGAACAGGAAGAGAAGAAAGCTCAGTTGGAGCTGTCCAGTAAAATTAACAACACTCTGACGGAGTGTCTGAGGCTCACTGAAGAGGTGAGTAGCAAGACAAAACTGTCCAACTCTGACCTGCACCCCATCCTGCTGCTTAAAAATTTCTCCTAGAGCAGAGGAAATAGCCTTAACCTCGGCAGAAATCAAGCCACTCTTCCAAATATAGAAGAATAGTGACAGTAGCAGCAGTAATACTGATGAATGCACCTGATTGGCAGCTCAGAGATGGTAGGAAACTAACCTAAGCCATTTGGCTCCAAAGGGAGCTTTCTCCATGTGGCTGGGTCCAAAGAGTATACAACATTTGGATTGAAATCTAAGTCAACATGCAATGCTTTTTTCAACTTGGAATTTCCTAAATAGTTTTAGTTGGGGGCTGGCTTAAGATTTATTTTTATTTTATGTATGTGGGTGCTTTACATGCAATAGCTGCATCCCATGCATGCAGTGTCCATAGAGGCCAGGAGAGGGCATCAAATCCACTGGAACTGGAATCACAAATGATTGCCAGCCACCATATGGATGCTGGGAACCCAACCCTGATCCTCCAGAAGAGCAGCTAGTGCTGTTAACCACTGAGCCATCTCTCCAGCACCCCTAAGTACTTTTGGTAGCCAAAAATAGTATCTGAATTGTGTGTTGGAGTCTACAGATGAGGATAAAGTGGGTGATAGACAAAGGGTCAGAGACTTAAGCAACTGCCTTAATGAGAATTCATTAATAAAAACTGATATGCTTAGCCTCTTGATAGAGAGTAAAAGAGTAAAAGTCAGTGTGTTCTGGTGGTGTTAGACTTGGGGGAACAGCAGGGGGACCATTGTTTTAATATTTCTCACTGCAGTAAACATTAGCTATTTCTCCTTTATGGAATTAGAATTCAGAGGTCTGTTTGTTTACTTGATTTGCTCTCTTATTTTCATTAAAAAAAATACATGGATGATTCTTTTGTGTGTGGGATGGGGTAGGTACACTTATGTACACATTCATGTGAATGCCATAGGGCAGCCTCATTGTCGTTCCTCAGGCACTGTCTTCCCTGTTTTGAGGGTAGGAATTTGGTTTGGTTTGGGTTGGTTTGGTTTGGTTTGATTTGGTTTGGTTTGGTTTGGTTTGGTTTGGTTTGGTTTGGTTTGGTTTGGTTTGGTTTGGTTTGGTTTGGTTTGGTTTGGTTTGGTTTGGTTTGGTTTGGTTTGGTTTGGTTTGGTTTGGTTTGGTTTGGTTTGGTTTGGTTTGGTTTGGTTTGGTTTGGTTTGGTTTGGTTTGGTTGTAGAACTCCACAGTAGGCCAGGCTGGAGGCTGACTGGCTAGTGAGCCCCAGGGATCTGCTTGTCTCCGCCTCTCTGGTGCCGGGATTGCAAGCACGCACTACCAGTCCTAGCCTTTGGTACATTTCTGGCTGTTGGGCAATGTGCAGCACAACACTTACCGACTGAACCCCGCAGCTCCCGCGTCCCCAGCTGTAAATGAGGGTAAGAGAGTCCACAAGAGCCCAAAGTAAAGGGATATCAAATATTTATCCGGAAACACTCACAAATAACAATAAGGTAAAGAGCCACCCTGGGGGTTCTGAAAGTTGCAATTAGATCTGTAACCACCACACAAGAGGCTCAGAGAGACAGAGCCCTCCTCTTCCTTATAAGAGCTCACATCTGCACACAGAAGCCACGTCCCTAAGGCCGATACCGCAAATCTATTGGCAGAATGAATTCCCACACACGTTTTTGTTTGTTTGTTTGAGGCAGGATTTTCCTGTGTAACCTGGCTGTCCTGGAACTCACTCTGTAGACCAGGCTGGCTTTGAACTGAGAGATCTACTTGTCTCTGTCTCTGCCTCTGCCGAGTGCTGGGATTAAAGGCCTGCGGCCTATCTTGTACCTTCTTTTTTTTTTTTTTTTTTGAGAGTACCTTTTTAATATTAAAATAATTTCAAAATTATAGATGAGTGGCCAGATTAGTGGTCACCAACCACTGCAGGCTGCCCTCCAGCTTTCCATATGTGCGTACACTATAGCTGCATCACAAAGTGAGGCATCGCTTTGTTTTGCAAGTTGCCACCGTGTTACTTCAGATTTTATACATGTTTTCCTAGTCTCAATCAAATAAATTGGATATTTTCCCTTTTTTTCTACACTCTGACAATAGTTTGTACATCTTTTCACATAACTGTTTTATGATTCTTAGACTGACTGTATAGAAAGAATTTGTGCCCCCCTTTTTTTTTTTTTAATCACTTGTTGCACTTGGGAGGCTAAGGCAGGAATATCACAGATTCAAGGCTAGACTTGAATGAAATAGGAATTCATAGCCAGCCTCAAATACATAAGGAGTCCTATCAAAAAGCTAAAGGGTGAGGCTGGGGCGAGGGCCGGGAGAGGAAGTAGATGTGCTGAAGATTTCTCTGATCTATTTAAAGGTTGCAAAAATCTTTTGGACTCCAGTAATTGTTTTTTATCATTTGTCAGTATTTATACTTATCCTGTCAATTGTTATTCTTACCTTCTAGTTAAAAGCTTAGACAGTTTAATCAATCTTAGTTCCTTATAAATATGGTAAATGCTATAAATTTGCCTCCTAACTTTTACTTTCTAATATCTGTCATATTTAATGCTCTTTTCATCCAAGGTCATATTACAAAAACAGAATGCCTTTCTACAGTACACCACCTTAAAGAAATCCTCATGTGTTCTATCCGGAATTTTCCTGAACTCTGTCTGGTTTTGGATTTTATAGAGACTTCATTACAAATGCATCATTGATTACCTTGGCCTACATTAGGCCATTAGTGATCAGCTTGCGCTTCAGTCCTATCCCCAGAGGCTGAAGCCCCCACCCCTGTGACTCTGTTTGCCTCCTGTCCTAGGAGCAGCCACCATCCTGAGGCTACCTAGGAACTGCCAGTCATCGATTAATTCATTAGCATGCAAAAGACTTTGGAAGAGTCCAAGGATTTTAGGAGTTACATGCCAGAAAATGGAGGAAGACTCCGTATGTAATCACAGTTTCACACTAGAAGAGGTGAAGTTGGGAGAAAATAGGACTCCAGCTTTCACTAGGTTGTACCACTCAACAATGGCTAGTATTTTAAGGACTAGAGGAGGGACCCTATGGGCCTGGGGCTCTGCAGGAGCTCAGTGGTGTTAAAAGTGAAAGTAAGGGGGTGGGCAGTGGCTGGAACCAGCTGCTGTCCCTGGTAAGGGACTAGGGTGGCAAAAAGCAGATGGAAAGACTCCGTCCAACCTTCACTTGGAAGTCTCCCTCTATTCTCCTATGCAGCAGGGCCCAGCCAGAGCCACTGTCAGTCAGAAAGTTCTACAGGGTTCCAGCCCCACATCAAGACACAGCTCAAAAGTGGTTCACTGAGTAGCTGGCTGATACCCCACCTGTTCTCATTGCTTTTCATTTGTTCCTAAATACTTAGGGTTTCTATTTGGAGTCCTCTAACTCAAAACTTAACTTAGAAGTTATCTTTGCATCATACTTACAATGGTTTTTTTCTTAACTTATTAGTTTCTAACAGTATTGTAGTTAGTAAAGTGGCCATCTCTGGATTGTACTTGATACAATTTATTGAAATTCTCTTGGTTGTTTTAATGACTGATCATTTTTGGTAAACATTCCAAAAGTATTTAAAAATAATGTTTTCTATTTGCTACCCACTGTGTTCCTTTCTGAAAGAATTTTCCAGAGTTGTTCTAGAAGGACTAGTTACTGACAGTTTCAACTTATATTTGTCATCTCTGCTGTCTTTGTTTTTCTAATTGTTGTTACATAGATTCATGACTTGCTTTGATTCTCTGATATTAGTTTTGCCAAATCTGGGTTGGTTTTTGTTTTTTGTTTTTTATTGTTGTTGTTGTTGTTGTTAGAGTTCATCTTTGATATCTTTTTTCATCTCTAGTTTTAAGTCCCTGGGCTGGCATTATTTTAGGGACTTATCACAGATGTAGAGACTGAAACACCGCTCTGAACAGCCTATCTCACCCTCCAGAGTTAGTGATTGCTTGTGTATCCAAACTTACTCCGGACACTTGACTTTGTAATTCCACTTACAGGATTCTCCTGTGTTCATTATTTAATATCATTTTCATGTTTCATAAAGAAAGCTATAAATTAATGAAACAAAATAACACAGCAGACTAAATTCAAACACATCTGCTAATGACGCTTGCAAACTTTGAGTCATTATGCTTAGAAAAGTACCATTATTTTGCCCTCATACTTTGTTCATAGTTTGGGGAGAATTTCCAACTACAAGTTATCTTCTCTAAAAGCGTTGACGTTCCTGCTTTATTTTCTTCCTTGCATCTGGAATTATTAATTTATTGAGTCTAGTCCATCTGAGTCTCATTCCTCTTAAGTTATCCCTTATTTCTCCTTCCTCTCTAGATGCTTTTCAAGTTATGTTTTTATCCTTGGTTTTCTACATACATGTACATACATGCTTACATATATGCATAGATGCCAATTAGCTCTCCAAGAACTTTCAGTGTAAACAATTGTGAATCTATTATTTTTTTTTTCTTGTATGGCTCATTTGAGTGTGTGTTCAACTTTGTTTTCAACCTTCAAGAAATTCTTTTATATTGATATTGAAATTAGCAAGCAGTAGATGTGACCTTTTTGTGGAATCTACCAGCATGAATCCCCAGTACACCTGCGTGCACACATACACCATGGCCTGTGTATACCTCTGCTGCTCTTCCTGCATGCTGAGATTAGTCACATGGAAAGTCAAGCCTTGACTCACTGTTCACACTACTGTGAAGATGTAATATTTTGAATATTTTTAGTATGTAAGAAGTATTTATTACTCTAGGTCTCAATTCTGTTGGGGTCTTTCATCCCCTAAAAATATAGAACCTATTCTTTACCTTATGGTAAATGTTTTTCTATCTATTCTGCACTGTGTAGCTCTTAAATGTAAAGGCTAGTGTTAAAAGTTATTGAAATGTACAATTAAAACGGGGACCTTTTGTGTATTTATTATACATTTACTATACCTCGGTAAAATTGAAATTTTAGCTTCAGAAAAATTATTGATCATACCTTCAAAGATAGGAGAATTAACAGTGAACTAAAGTCATAATAATTATATCTTGTATTTCCTTTTCCAGGGTGTATTTCCTAATGAAATATTTAACATCCTGTCCAGCATTCCGGAGGCTGAAAAATTTTCCAAGTTCTGGGTCTGCAAAGCAAAGTTGCTGGCAAGTAAAGGCACCTTTGATGCTATTGGACTGTATGAAGAGGCCATTAAAAATGGGGCGGCAGTGAGTATCTGTCTTGGATGGGTGACTTAAAATTCCCTTTCATGTGGTTTTTTGTTGTTTGCAATAAGATGATTCTATAATGCAGTGCGAAACTTTCATTCATAGGGGTGAGAGAGGGTAATAGGGTAAATATGATAAACGTGCATTATATGCATGTGTGGTGTTGTCACAGTGAAGCCTGAAACCCATTGTTTTGTATAATTGATGCATACTAACAAGGCAGTCACAGAGTCTGAAGTAGAATATATTCTTTATCAATGCATCCATTAAGTTATTTCTTAGACAGCAGGGTTATACTTATACCAGTAGAATGTCAGTTTTCTTGTCAAGTACCATATGTCATTTAACACTAAGTACAGAAATAAGCAGTTTGGGAAGTAACAATGAAAAGTCTGAATAGTATCGAGATGGCTCAGTGGTTAAGAGCATTGGCTGCTTTTCCAGAGGTCCTGCTCTCAATTCCTAGCAACCATCTATAATAAAATCTGGTGCCCTCTTGTGGCATGTAGAAAGAACACTGTATACATAATAAATAAATAAATAAATAAATAAATAAGCCTTAAAAAAATAAAGAGTAGTATCAACATCAAATAGTTAGAAAGAATTTAAATTACATTAAGTTCAGTGCATCACTAACCCAGAGTCTTTACATCCAGTAGCTTACTAATTCTAAAAGCAAGCTGAAACCACCACTGGCAAATTTATTTAATGAAGACTATATCAAATAACCTCATAACTCTTTTCACTTAAATGTCATTCTCCTCCCTTACTCCCGTTCTGTAGTGCCCATTTCCATGACTGTTCACAGAGTTGTATGTCTCTGAGTTTGGTCAGTTTCACCCAGTTCTGTCTTTTCCTCACCCCCGCCCCCTTCATATTTATACTTCCCAGAGCAAACTGATTCCATTTTTACCTCTGTGGTTTCAGAAAACATGCTTATGTTGCTGCTTTCACTTTTAGACATAATTTGTGAACTTGCAGATGAGGGCACAGCCATAACATCCTTTTACACAGATTCTCCCATGTCCCCTGCCTTACACGTTCATGCCGACAGCCCTGTGGACCTTTGCCATATGCCATGCTTTCACTGACGCCATATGGAAATTCTGTCACTTTAGTGTCCATATTGTTCCTCGCATGTAAGAAATACATGGCAGAGCTGGAGGGATGGCTTATCGATTAAGAAAGAGTGCTGACTGCTCTTCCATAGGACCGGGGTTCAATTCCCAGCACCCACATGGCAGCTCACAACTGTCTGTAATTCCAAATTGAACACACACAAACATGCAGGCAAAACAATGCACAAAAAATAAAAATAAGTAAATTATTTTTTTAAAAAAAAGAAGTGCATGGCTGTGCTGAGCTGTGGAATAGATACTAGGATTGCTTTGCCTTTCAAACACACCTTCTACTCTTACTAGAACTAATTAGTTCTTTATTTTGTCAATGCTTGGTTTTCTGAGTATTTATTATGTAACTAATTTTCATAGTTTTGAATTTTCTGAACAATGCCAAGACTTCAGATAATCTATTGATTTACTCTTAGAGCCCCCCCCCCCCCCCCGGTTTATTCCAGGTTGGTCAGGTAGCTCTCAGCCCCTGTCTGCACCAGCTGTCCTTCTGGGTCTGTTTCCATCACTAGCAGACACTCCTTACACACTTCCTGAGTTGTTACAGAACTCTTTCCCGCCAGCCCGGTTCCACAACAGCATCAGCCCCAAATGAACACTCAGAGACTTATATTAATTATAATACTGTTGGCCAATGACTAGGGCCTCTTATTGGCTAACTCTGTCTTAATTACTAATCCATTACTATTAATCTAAGTATTTCCACATGGTCTTAATTTACTGGAGAAAGGTCCGGGGACCTGTTACTCCTCTGGCGTCCTACATGGTGACTGCTCTCTGCCTACACCTCCCAGAATCCTCCTCATCTAGACCCACCTATCTTGTTGCCCTGTTGGCCACAGTGTTTTATTCATCAACCAATAAGAGAAACATATACAGAAAACATCCTTATCATCTCTTCTTTTCTGTCTAAATAAAAAGATAGGCTTTAACTTTAACATAGTAAAATACATAACCAAACAGTTTATCAAATAAGAACTATACTTAACAAAATGTAGTCCATTAACATTTAGCAAAATTTAAAGAAAATATTCTATCATCTATCCTATCTTTGTGAGTCTAAAGCCTTATATGTAACTTATCTTTTATCATAACTAAGGAAAACTATAACCATAACCATCTGTCTTCAACTCCATCAAAGACCTCAGAAGGATAATTTATAAGCTCTAGAATGGACAGAGACATTTCGCTGCCTGGTCAGTCATCCAAAGTTCCTCTGTAACATTGGAGCATTCATCTTCATCCCATAGGCCACAGTGTGTCTGGCAGACTTCTCAGTGAAGCAGGAAATTTTAAACTGTCCGCCAGCATTGGCAGTTCGTCAGTCATTTTTTTCTGTGTCCTGCAGAATATCTGGCAGACTCTTCTATGAAGCAGGAACCCTTCAGGACTGTCTCATTTTGTTTTGGCAAGTTCAGCAATCACTTTCCTGTGGGTCCTGCATGTCCAATTTATACAGCCGACAGTCAAACAGTCCAGGCAAGAGCAGTTTCTTGCCCAAATGGCTATTTCTGCCATGTCAAAGACAAACTCCATAATGAGTTTCTTTGATGCCCATCTTCCTCTCTAAAGTAATTGGTGTTGCCAGAAGCAGTTGTGTCTCACTGTCATAAAAAACCCTAACCCATTTTAAATGCCATATTCTGAAGGTCTTTGAAAGGTTTGAAGACTGTCCATCTCAAATAAATCTCTGTATATCTAGAGAACCTAACTAACCGAACTATAAGTTTTGACTATTATAGGTGACTACAATCTATTTAATTATATATTACATTTTTAAAATAGCTGTATAAACTCAATACCTAAACAAGAGGAGAAATATACATATAACAAAATTGACCTTAAATTTGTATCAATAAGCCAAAATCCATACCAATGTAAAGTATTTATTTCTATATCATATTCCTCCCTTTTTTTTCCTTTAGAAAGAGATGGGTTGCAATCATAAACCATTTATAACCAACCCCATTTAAATGAAAACAAACACTTATAAACAATATTTGGGAATGTGAATGTCATTCTCTCCAAACTGCTTCCTGCTGTTTAGGGACATTGAAATACTATGGGGATCCTTAGAAAACACGGAAACCTGGCCAAGCCCTTGTTGTAGTAGTCTGCAAGGCTGCATCGTCTCAGCTGTTTTAGATATTGGATCACCTGGGCCATTGTTTCATGGGCTTTTGCTTGATCAAACTATATTAATCTGGAAGGAATCCACAGCTTTTCATTTTCTGTGGAAACAAAAAGAAAATCTCTTTTACAAAGTGGCATGTTCTTAGACTTAAATTTTGAAGTCAAGACATTTTTAAAATATATGAGTTGGATTAATCCAGCAGCATTTATAATCAAATATATTTTAGCAGCTGTAGCTCTTTCCTCAGCAATCAAAACATTTAAAAACAACACTATAGCAGACAGTATCTAGACTCTCTGTGTATTTTATTTTTCATCTTTATGTGGCTATTTTTTTAACTCTATTTTTTGACTTTTATTTTTTTATTTTCTGAGACAGGATTTCTCTGTTTACTTTTATCTGTCCTGGAATTCACTCTATACACCAGACTGGCCTTGAATCACAGAGATTTGCTTGCCTCTGCCTCCCAAGTGAATCCTACCAGCATGCACCACCACAACCGGCTACTCTGTTCCTTGTTTAACCACGCATCTTTCTTCTTTTCTCTCCCAAGCCAATGTATTTTCTTTTAACACACTGTAAATGTTTTATCTTTTTCTAACCATGAGTCTGAATCTGCTAAACAGCATTGCTAGGATTAAAGAGGATGTTTTACCTGCTGGCTTTCCAACATGGAGGACATAAGCTTACCGCCAGAACTGGGAGCTGTGATCACTGCCTCGACTCTTAAACCCTTATGAGTAAAACCTAAATCTGCCATGCTTGCTGGTCATTGCTGCCACCAGCTTCTCCTACACACCATTTTTGTTTGGTAGTGGGGCCTCTTAAAAGAGCCCTGTGGTTTTTGCCGCTATGTCAAGTCAGGAAACTTTCCTTAAAGGAGCCACATGAGTCTCTGCTTGTCTCTAGCAAAACAGAGACCACCTGAGAAAATGCTGCTACCAAGAACCCATGCTTGGCTTTGTTCTTTTGTTTTTAAAATCCCTTTTTAAGCTTTTGTCACGTTTTATGTGGAAGTTCTTACAACCCACGGTTGGACACCATTTTGTTACAAAACTCTTTGCTGCCAACCTGGTCCCACAACTGTGTCAGCCCCAAATGAACACTCAGAGACTTATATTAATTATAATACTGTTGGCCAATACTAGTGCTTCTTATTGGCTAGCTCTGTCTTAACCTATTTCTTTTAATCTGAGTATTTCCACGTGGTCTTATCTTAATGGAGAAAGGTCCAGGGACCTGTTACTTCTCTGGCATCCTACATGGTGACTGCTCTCTGCCTACACCTCCCAGAATCCTCCTCATCTCCTAGACCTGCCTATCTGTTGCCCTATTAGCCACAGTGTTTTATTCATCAACCAATAAGAGAAACATATATACAAAAGAAAACCCCCATCACTTAGTAGGGTATATCTCTTGTTTCCTGCATTGTCTGTTTCTTCTTCTCTAGGGCTCTTCCCTAGTCTTACTGTTGTTTTATTCTCCATTATTCACTGAAGGATTTATTCAGATACTGGTGAAGTTGGTGTGTGTGTGTGTGTGTGTGTGTGTGTGTGTGTGTGTGTGTGAGTGTGTGTGTGTGTGAGTGTGTGTGTGTGTGAGTGTGTGTGTGTGTGAGTGTGTGTGTGTGTGAGTGTGTGTGTGTGTGTGTGTGTGTGTGTGTGTGTGCGTGTGTACAGGTAGATTTGAAATGTGTATTAAAAGTATGAAGGCTAGGGAGATAGCTCATTCTATAAAGTACCTGCTGAACAAGCATGAAGAACTGAGTTTATCCCTAGCACCCACGTACAGTAGCCAGTCATGGTGGCACACTCTTAAACTCCCAGCACAGGTGAGGCAGAGGCAGGTGGATCCCTAGAACTTTCTGACTAGCTAGCCTAGCCTAACTGGTGACTCCCCAGATCCTAGTGAAAAATGCTATCTCAGAAAACATGGTAGATGATTCTTGAGGAATGACAGAGGCTATAACATACACATGTGCATACACACATAAATGCACACTGAACATGCATGCACGCATATGTACTACGTGCATGTATACAAGCTCTGGCCATGTGTATGGGCTTCCCAGTAGGGTGATCTGGCTGGCTGCACTGGTTGGTTAGAGAACCCTCGGTATCCTTATCTTAAGGTCTTTCCCCTTCAGCTATCAGATTGTCTAGGGAGATTCTGCCAGCCTCCTTCCTGTGAGCTAGAAACTATGCTGCCAGCGTTGGGGGGCAGGGCATCTTCTAAGCCTGGAGATTTTGATTTATCCTGTTTTCAAGTAGGCACTCACCCCAGTCGGTCTTGCATGATGTCCCTCAGGAATGTGGAGAATATGTCCCAGTTTCCTGTTAGGGTGGCACAGTTAGGGCACAAACACAAACACGGGGTCAGAGTATAGGGTAGAGTTGGAGGTCTGGGCCTTGGTTCACTTCCTGTTCTTGACTTTGGAAGCTCTGGGATGTGCCTCAGGCTTTTCCTCAGCCACATTCCCAGCCAGCTCTCTCAGGCCAGTTGGCTGTTGTCTCCCTCATTCCAGCTTCCAAAATCTTGTTGCTGTTTATTCTCTCCTATGCTTCTTTTTAATCCTTTATTTTCATTTCAGGAGAATTTCAAGAGAGTTTAAAAATAAATGTGTTTTTAGTCTACCATTTTTAGCAGAAGTCTATATAAATGCAAAATATGCTTCATGAAGTGGGGCTTATCCCTGTAATCCCAACAGTTGGGAGGCTGAGGCAGGAAAATTGCCATGAGTTTGAGACTTGCCTGGTCTCCATAGTCTGACTTAGGTTAGACTACAGAGTAATACCTGGTCTTAAAAAACATTAATAATAAAATATGCTTGATGTAAGTATTTTATAGTGCAGATTCATTACAGTATATAAATGTACTCCCCACTTCAGAAGCTTTCAACATAACTTGTTTGGTTGGCTTTGTTCTTTGATTTGGGTTTTGTTTGTTGTTTTGTTGGAGTGGGTTTGTTTTGTTTTATTGAAACAAATGTATGATCTCATTATGTAGACCAGGCTGACCTGGAACTTACTGTGTAGATCAGGCTGGTCTGGAACTCAAAGATATGCCTGCTTTTACCTCCAGAGTGCTAGAATTAAAAGTGTGTACTACCATGCTTGGTCAGTTCCTCCTCCCCCCTCCCCCTTCCCCCGCGCATGCGCTCTCTCTCTCTCTCTCTCTCTCTCTCTCTCTCTCTCTCTCTCTCTCTCTCTCGTGTGTGTGTGTGTGTGTGTGTGTGTGTGTGTGTGTGTGTTATTAATTTGATACAGAGTACAAAGTCAGGAAAAAATTCCAAATACAATTTTCCCAGGAACAAACAGCAGTTGACTTTGTGGTATGATGTGGCTTGCATTCTTTTCTGTGCAATGGAGTTTTTTGTTTTCCTTTGCTTGGTTGATTTGTCCTCCTGTTTAAGATACATTGACTAAAGAAAGGAGAGAAAGAAGAGACCAGGGGAAAATACAGAAAAGGCTAAAAGAAGTCTGCATGATGGAACTTTGGGTAATGGTCTTCCTGGAGTTTAAACTGTGGTTCAAGCTTTCCGAAATATACCACACACTTTTTAATCATGAACACAAGAATTAAACTGACAGCAACAGTACAGGATGCATTTTCTATCTCTATAGTTAGCTTTATATCTTTAAGCCAGAATCTTTATGTAGGAACACATCTTTAATGATATGATATAAATTAGTGGGAAAAGAGAATTTGATTTAGAGAAATTTATTATAAGCAGCTTTGAACACATCTCTTAATGAAATTGGGTATGCCAGTTAATCAACATTTTCTGTTTCTTCATTTTGCTCATGAATCTTTAAAACTGAATCATTTTAAGTGTGTTTATCTCTGAATATGCAATTTAAAGAGAAAACATTTTTATTGCAGAAAGTTTATTTGATGCTAAGCAAAAGTCCTTAGCTCAGTTTTTCCATGAATGCTTTTAATACCAGTTGTTAATTTTGTTGCTTCCAGCCAATGCAAGAACTGCTGGAGATTCTGAACATTCCGCAAGATCCAAGCAGAAGCACAGAGGGTATGGTTAATTTTGTATTTGAATTAATTCCCTTGAGATAGGCAAGTAAAAACCATTGTAGAACATGTAGGAGATCGGCGGAAGGAGCCCCTAAAACACCTCCCACCTCTTGGTCTTAGTGGCCAGGCCTTTTTAGCTATAATCATCCACTGATTTATTTCTATAACTACAAGTAAATATATGCACAATGCTGTACAAAAGTTTTGTCCTCCACAGCATCCTGGACTAGAGTGCCCTGCTTTCCTGGAGTTCTCTGTGGGAAAACACAAATGACTGGTGTTCAAAAGAAACAGAGATAAAAAAAGAGATGCTGTGGTCTAAGTTGTGTGTTTAATCATCCCTAAGTTAGTGTCACTAGTCTAAACTCATGTTGTCTCTCAAGAGTCTCTCCCCTTACTTAGAGCTGTCACTGTCACTATTCAGAACCTTTAAAGAGAGTGTCTATGGAAGTAATTGTGACAAGCTCAGTGACATGTTCAGGATACTTTTTATATGAGTGGAAAGGGAAAATGTACTATATCTTTAGAAAATAAAATGGGCTGTTATTATCCTAGATGTCAAATATTTGTCCTTTAAGAATAGATTTAAGGTGGCCATGATGGCTCACGCCTGTAATCCTGGCTGAGGATTGCCTTGATTCAAAGCCACCCTGGATGAGAGAGAGATAGAGGAAGAAGAGGAGGAGATTTAACTAAGGACCATGAAGTCATGGAAGAACAGCTAAGTAGCTAGTAATCTGAGGAACAGAGTAGAACTATTCAATGGTAAGCTCAGAAGAAGACTATAGCTCAGATATTTGCTCTCATGAGAGTAAACAAGCAATCAGAATGTGGCCAATGCTAAAAAGGATCAAGGATTCCTCTTCAATTGGCAAAATGCCCAGAAGGTGTCTGGAGGGCTGCTTCGTGAGGTGCCTGATGTCATAGGACATTGTGGCAGGAAAGGGGGGCACTAGGAAGAACTGGAGGAGAGTAGCAGTGGATATGATCAATATATGGTTTATAAATGCATGAAAGTTTCAAAGAATAAAAAATACTATTTTTTTCACTTCTTCAAATCTCTTTTTCACTTTTTTTATTATTTTTTTACACACCAATCCCAGAAAAATGCTATTTTTTAAAATACAGCAAGAAAAAAAAAGAACATATAAATACCAGTTGGAGTCATACCTCTTTATTTACTGTACAGACTCCATTGGGATCACTGGAAAGTCACTGTACATGCTGCCTTCTTGTATTATTGTTAGTTTAATTATTAAATTGCTTGACTCTTACTTCCCTTCCTGGCCTTGTGTACACAGCTGTCACCTCGGGCTCATCAGCTGCTGGAACTAATGTCACATCTGTGGAAGAGCTGGCCAAGGAGGACGACTCTGGGCAGCCGTGTCTTCCTCTAACAGAAAGGGAGCAGATTGTAGCAACACCACAGATAACTGCAGAAGAATGGGATAACCCTGGTATCAAACTACAGATCGCCCCAGTCCCAAGGTAAGCAAACTCTAGCAGGCTTTTGATGACAGACCTAACCCTAGTTGAGCTCTTGGTTTCCTTTGCACCCATCCAGAGAAGTAGTAGTTTGTAGATACCTCTGCCTTAGATCAGGGGCTCCACAATGTGGTGAAGAAATTAGGTCAGTGATTAGTCTCACAGAGCTCTCATAACACTGAAAAGGAGATGAGGATCAGTGTTGCATAGAGATCCAGAATCCATCTTCAATTGGCAAAGATGCCCAGTTGGACATTCAGGAAGGGAGGGGGGGTAATAGAGGTTAGAACCATTGACGGGCAAGTCTGAGTCTTTCCTGCATGCATGCCACCCCCTCCTCCTGTCCTAGGAAGACATAACTGCCATGAAGTCAGTGCTGGTGTCCACACCCCTCCCGCATCCAGCATCAAGCCCCACCTCTCCACTACCATTTGTCCTGCCAGCCTGGCACGGACGGAAGCTGGATAGCACTAACTCCCAGAGTGTGGAAGAGAAGAAGGGGAGTGACCAGCCCTGTGAGAACAGTGAGGGCATCTGAGTATGTTACAGTCAGAGACTGCTAGAGCCTTCTTTTCCTAAGAGGTCATGTTCAAGGCAGAACTGCACAGTCATTTTAAGGCAGCATGGCAGTGTACCAATGTCGTTTCCAAAAACTTAAGTTTAGTGTCTCTCCTCACTACTCATGATTCTGAAAGGACTCGACACAAGAGCACCAACTCAGCAGTTTTGTGTCTTCCTTTCCCTGGAAAGCACAGCTAGACTGACCCCTTAGCCGTCATTACCCCAAGGCTCTTGGCTCATGGATGCATGAAGCAGACAGTCAATCCAAAGCTCACCCTTCCCCCGCCCCCGTTGTTCCAGAATTATTATTATGAGCACTTTTTAGCAGTCCTGCTTGGTAGTTTTGCATAAGCTTAATGCAGCCAGTGGTTTTGTGAATTTTAGATCAGTCACGCATGCAAAGGACCTGAGTTCATTGGGGCGTTTACAAGGAAGATTCCTGTCGTTCCGGTTCCAACACATGATTTGGTCCACCCTCTTTTTGAGTAATGTATAGTCAACACTAGAAGGACTCTTAGAAGTCACTAGTGCAATCAAGTTTGGTGTTAGGCCAGTTTCCTCAAACCTGCAAAAATTTATGAGATAAACAAACAGCAACTATAAAGCAGTTAACTTCAAATCAAAACCATTTTCACCCTTCGTAAAATCCTAATGTTACCACATCCAGGAGCATGTGTGTGGCCACCATCCAGTACTTCCTGAGCAGCAGGAAAAGCTAGTGTAGGTTGAGAAGTACTCCGCACTTGTCTCTTGGTCAGCTGACAGTGAAATGTCGGTTACGCTTTATTATGGAGTAAGAAACAAAGAATTAAAAACAGAATGTTGCAGTAGCTGTGAAGGCTTAGAATACATCCTTTGATCTCTTTCAGAATATGTGGTGTGCCAGAAGTTCAAGACATGAAGCTTATCACTCCCGTGAGGCGCTCAGCCAGGATTGAGCAAGCGGTGACCCGCTACCCAGAAATGCTGCAGGAACATAACGTTGTCGTGGCTTCTCTTAATGAGCTCCTGGAAGTGGACAAAACAGAGTATTTTGTCTTCCGGGAAAATGAAGCTTTACCTGTGACACTAGGTTTTGAAATCCTTGAATCATGATCTTTTGATATTTTTTTTTAATGTTTTTAAATGAAGGTTTCTTCAGGGCTTGCAAGAAATAAGAAATGCCCTTGTCAAGATGGCCTGAAATAAATGTTCACTGAGACACCATGATGCAGAAGAGAGACTCTTGCATCTGAGGAAGTAATGCATGGGGTTTACTCTCAGATTGTATGTCCCACAAGAAAACTTTTGGTTCATGTGTTTTGCTCTATACTTTGTAATAGTTTTACAGCACATATAAGTTTCTGAGTATCAAATATTAATTTATCTCCAATGTAGAAAAAAAAACTGTACTTTGATGATCTACTGTAATTCTGTAGTTATTTTTTGTGCCCAAAGTTTGATGCTGTGGAGTGACTAACCTTCCTCTTAGGATCCACCTTACCCGGGAGGGCAGGTTCTTAGGGTGGGAAGATTTGAGTTTGAAACCAGCTCACTAGGCAAGATGGTCAAACCCCACGCATCAGGGTAAAGTTAGGCCAGCCACCGCCTCACTCAGATCCCAGATGACATTCATGGAGTCCTTTGACTTCCATCACAGTGACCCTATAGATGAGGGTGACTCTTGTCCTCTCTGGATGGGTTACCTATTGTGAAGAACAATCCAGAATTGACATGGCCACCCTGGTGTTTATTATGTACAACCCTCATTTGCACTTGTTCAGAAATGATTCGAATAAAAACAAGTTGTGGGGACAGCACTTGCTGCATCCCTTGTTTTCTCTTTCACGGGACTCTAGCCTGAAGAGGATGTGACCCCCGGAGACTACAGCGGGGGATTTTCTTCTCCTTGGGCAACTGTTCTTAGAGCAGAAAACCAGAGTTGTTTTGTAAATGTAATGTATAGAAAGCCTATTCCGCACATTTTAAGTTTCAGCTTTGTTAATATTATTACTAAGTAATACTGAAAATAAAAACCCTTAAATACTTGTTCATGCCTGCTTGTTTATTCACTTTGTTAGCAAGAGATGTAGCAGTTTCTCAGGGGAAATGCTGGACCACGTGGGGTGCATTCATGGTCTGGATAAACAATCTGACCATAAGCCTCATGAGGATTTTTGCTGTGAGGGAAATAGGTTTCACCTCTCAAGATCAGGCTTATAACACCCAAGATTCCTAAAACTGCCCTAGAAAGCCTTCGTGCCAGAGAGCTAGCCCTCCATGAGAAATAGATGTCCATCCACCAGTGTGCAGGAAACCATGCAACCAGCTTAGAGAGTTCCAGGTTGGAGGGAACTTGCCTCAACCCTCAGACTGCAGCTCCAGTCCTCTCAGAGGTTCAGGATGGAGCCTGCAGTGCCCCCTCTGCTAGAATGGCTCACTTATCTGTGCCCTCTTCTCTCCAGGCCTGAGAATCAGCTTGATTCTGTACTGGCTTCACTTCTCAAAACCATTGTTTGCTGTTGACACAGTTTTGCTTTCTTCATCACCAGCTCCTTGTAGGATGTCTGGCAGTCTCTCTCTGACACTGATAATACAATATGGGTTGAACTGGCAGTGTCTGGTAATGTTTAGTTTTAAAAGGAATAATTGGGGTGGGGGGGGGAGGCAGAGGGGTGGGGGGTTTCAAAGTCTGATCAGACTAAATGGAGCCTTCCAGTCATGAAAACAATAGAGGAGGCTACAACTGCAGAAACCCACCTTAATTCTGAGGCACTTTGTAGATACTTATTAAAGCTCTCATTTACTCAGTGGGTGTTTCCTGATGGGGGCAGGAGAGAGAGAAGGAGGAAAGGACAGAGCCCGTAACAATCTGGGAGGCAGGTCTACAGAGAATGGTAACAAATACAAGTCTTTGTGTGGACGCAGCTCCAGGGGTTTAGCGGTGGCTTTTTAGAGGAAATTCTTATAAAGTGATTCTAGAAAGCTAAGGAAGATTGTATATGTCATCACTTTATCACTGTACAGAATGGCACGGAAAAGATGCACTTATCAGTCCCTGCTGCCAAGGCCCTCTGCTGTGTCTTCCACATACTAGAAGAAAACTTGAATGTGTTATTTCTAAGAAAAGCCTTCCCACCCCCAATCTAAATGGTTTAAGAGAAATGGACTCTACTGGGGGTGTACATGTGACCCATGCCTGAGCAACCAGAGCCCAGCATCACCATGGGTGAGGAACGTTGACTGGAGGATGGGGTCATACCAGACTTACTTGGAAAGAGATATCCTGATGGAGTTGCTGAAAAAGTAAGATGCAAATTTAAGATCTAAGGTTAGCTATCTTATTTACCTTGTAGACAAAGCCTTCTGGAAAATAGTACCAACACAAAATAAACCTCGTTCTATCAGCGACACAAATAGCTCATGCTATGCATGCATCTGGCCTGGTCATCCTGACTCTATCCTTACACAAGGAGCTGAATCAGTGCTTGCTTCCAACATGCCCTCCCAGGAACTGTGACATAGATAGGAAAACAATAGTTAGACGATGCAATGGCTTGAATAAGAAAGGTCTGGGCTGAAGAGATAGCTTGGGGGTTAAGAGCACGGGCCCCTCTTCCAAGGGACTTGGGTTCAATTCCCAACACCCACAAGGTAGCTAACCACCATCTGTAACTCTTAATTCCAAGAGGATCCAACACCTTCTTCTGGCACCTCTATGGGCACATACACAGGGAAAAAACACCCATACACATAAATAAAAATTTTCTCTAAAAAATAAAAAGGCCCCATAGGCTCATATATTTGAATGCTTGTTCTGCAGTTGGTGGAACTGTTTGGGAAGGATTAGGAGGTGTGGCCTTGTTAGAGGGAGTGTGACCCTGAGGGTAGACTTTGAGGTTTCAAAAGCCAATGCTATTCTTAGTCTCTTTCTGCCTGCCTGCTGCATGACCCCCACCTTAATAATGATTATAGATTCACCCTCTGAAACCATAAGCCTTTGTTAACTGTCCGCTTCTATAAACAACAGAACAGTGACCAAGACAGACAGTAAGTGACAAGGAAGAATCTCTATCTCACAGCCATCTGACTCCAGGTCCAGAACTTTTGATGCCTGGCTTACATAAAGCAGTGGAGAATGATGGTGGGAAATAGCAAATCTGAGGAAGTCTGAACCGTTCCTAGTTTAGCAAGTGAGAGCCACCTGGGCTGAGAGGACACCTCAGTGTGAACACACTTGCTGCATTAACATAAGAACTTACTTTTAGATTCTCAACACCTACAGAAAAGGTTGAGCACACAACATCCTTAGTCATCAGGGAAATGCAAATCAAAACAACTGTGAGATACCATCTTACACCGCAGAATTGCTGAGATCAAAAACACTGGTGACTGCTTGTGTTGGAAAGGATAGGAATGCAAACTTGTACGGCCACTGTGGAAATCAGTATAGCAATTTCTCAGAAAATTAGGGATCAATCTACCTCAAGACCCTGCAATACCATTTTTGGGAAAGTACCCAAAGGAAGCACATTCACACCATAAGGACATTTGCTCAACTATGTTCATAACAATATTATTCATAACATCCAGAACTTGGAAACAACCTAGATACCCCTCAACTGAAGAATGGATAAAGAAAATGTGGTATAGTTACACAATGGAGTACTCAGTGGGAAAAAAAAATGACACCTTTAAATTTGCAGGCACTTGGAAGGAACTAGAAAAAAAACATCCTGAGTGAGGTAACCCAGACCCAGAAAGACAAATATAATACGTACTCCCTCATAAGTGGATACTGAAGGGACCAATTCCCCATTTCAGCAGCACTAACAGTCTAGCACATGCTTGCCTGACCTTGCCTTGGTCATTAGGAGGTCAGATGCCTGCCTCGTGGCAAGGAACCAATCGGAAGTTAACTGATGGTGCTATGCTTTATGGCTCTGGGTCTGCTTTACGGACAAGTGCACCGCAATGACACGCAGAGCATAGCAATCACCCTGGGAGGGCCTATGGGCCATAACAACCAGTTGACCAATCAATACAGGGCAAACCCTCTAAGCCTGGAGGCACACCCATCCTGAGCCTGTGAGTACCCCTAGACACTCCCCTTACGCTGCCCTACAGTGATTCTAGAAAGCTAAGGAAGATTGTATATGTCATCACTTTATCACTGTACAGAATGGCACGGAAAAGATGCACTTATCAGTCCCTGCTGCCAAGGCCCTCTGCTGTGTCTTCCACATACTAGAAGAAAACTTGAATGTGTTATTTCTAAGAAAAGCCTTCCCACCCCCAATCTAAATGGTTTAAGAGAAATGGACTCTACTGGGGGTGTACATGTGACCCATGCCTGAGCAACCAGAGCCCAGCATCACCATGGGTGAGGAACGTTGACTGGAGGATGGGGTCATACCAGACTTACTTGGAAAGAGATATCCTGATGGAGTTGCTGAAAAAGTAAGATGCAAATTTAAGATCTAAGGTTAGCTATCTTATTTACCTTGTAGACAAAGCCTTCTGGAAAATAGTACCAACACAAAATAAACCTCGTTCTATCAGCGACACAAATAGCTCATGCTATGCATGCATCTGGCCTGGTCATCCTGACTCTATCCTTACACAAGGAGCTGAATCAGTGCTTGCTTCCAACATGCCCTCCCAGGAACTGTGACATAGATAGGAAAACAATAGTTAGACGATGCAATGGCTTGAATAAGAAAGGTCTGGGCTGAAGAGATAGCTTGGGGGTTAAGAGCACGGGCCCCTCTTCCAAGGGACTTGGGTTCAATTCCCAACACCCACAAGGTAGCTAACCACCATCTGTAACTCTTAATTCCAAGAGGATCCAACACCTTCTTCTGGCACCTCTATGGGCACATACACAGGGAAAAAACACCCATACACATAAATAAAAATTTTCTCTAAAAAATAAAAAGGCCCCATAGGCTCATATATTTGAATGCTTGTTCTGCAGTTGGTGGAACTGTTTGGGAAGGATTAGGAGGTGTGGCCTTGTTAGAGGGAGTGTGACCCTGAGGGTAGACTTTGAGGTTTCAAAAGCCAATGCTATTCTTAGTCTCTTTCTGCCTGCCTGCTGCATGACCCCCACCTTAATAATGATTATAGATTCACCCTCTGAAACCATAAGCCTTTGTTAACTGTCCGCTTCTATAAACAACAGAACAGTGACCAAGACAGACAGTAAGTGACAAGGAAGAATCTCTATCTCACAGCCATCTGACTCCAGGTCCAGAACTTTTGATGCCTGGCTTACATAAAGCAGTGGAGAATGATGGTGGGAAATAGCAAATCTGAGGAAGTCTGAACCGTTCCTAGTTTAGCAAGTGAGAGCCACCTGGGCTGAGAGGACACCTCAGTGTGAACACACTTGCTGCATTAACATAAGAACTTACTTTTAGATTCTCAACACCTACAGAAAAGGTTGAGCACACAACATCCTTAGTCATCAGGGAAATGCAAATCAAAACAACTGTGAGATACCATCTTACACCGCAGAATTGCTGAGATCAAAAACACTGGTGACTGCTTGTGTTGGAAAGGATAGGAATGCAAACTTGTACGGCCACTGTGGAAATCAGTATAGCAATTTCTCAGAAAATTAGGGATCAATCTACCTCAAGACCCTGCAATACCATTTTTGGGAAAGTACCCAAAGGAAGCACATTCACACCATAAGGACATTTGCTCAACTATGTTCATAACAATATTATTCATAACATCCAGAACTTGGAAACAACCTAGATACCCCTCAACTGAAGAATGGATAAAGAAAATGTGGTATAGTTACACAATGGAGTACTCAGTGGGAAAAAAAAATGACACCTTTAAATTTGCAGGCACTTGGAAGGAACTAGAAAAAAAACATCCTGAGTGAGGTAACCCAGACCCAGAAAGACAAATATAATACGTACTCCCTCATAAGTGGATACTGAAGGGACCAATTCCCCATTTCAGCAGCACTAACAGTCTAGCACATGCTTGCCTGACCTTGCCTTGGTCATTAGGAGGTCAGATGCCTGCCTCGTG